TTACCTGTGTCTGTGTTACCTGTCTGTGTTACCTGTGTCTGTGTTATCTGTGTCTGTGTTATCTGTGTCTGTGTTATCTGTGTCTGTGTTACCTGTCTGTCTCTCAGTGCTGCTCTGGAGGTGGAGCTGTCTGATGACTCGTTTCCACCTGAGGACTTCGGGATTGTTTCAGGGATGTTGAACGTCAAGTGGGACAGAATCGCTCCGTATCCTTTTAAAATAAAGTCTTAACTTCCTGTCACCTGTCAGGATCTGGAGGCATGTTTGACTCACTGAAGGTAGTTTAACTTTCAGACGGGTCATCGAGCACACCTCTCTCTCTGTTCGTCAGGGGGCTCAGGTGTTTCAGTGATGTAAACAGAACCCTCACAGCGTGAATACAGCTTTTAGTTTTTAAACTCCTGATGTTTGATTTAACTGATGACCTCAGAGCGAGTAACGTCTCTCACACCGTGGTGCTGCGCCCCCTAAAGGCCGGGTACTTCAACTTCACCTCTGCCTCTGTCAGCTACCTGGCCCAGGAGGGAGGGCAGGTTGTGGTAAGACCATATTGTTAACCAGATTATTAACCACTTAGTTATTAAAGAGAATCAGTGTAAAAGTGAAGCTGACTTCTCTGTTTGTCCTGCAGGTTGGATACACCAGCGCCCCCGGACAGGGAGGCATCCTGGCTCAGAGGGAGTTCGACCGCCGCTTCTCCCCCCATTACGTGAGTGTTTGATTCACTCCCTCACGTGTGTCTTCATGCATCAAGCATTTAATCAGGACACCATTTTGACATGCGCAGAGCTGTCCCATTGGTCGTACCTGTCACCCAGAACTTCCACCAGATACGTTTGTGTTGTGTTGGTTGTCACCTCCACTCCGGTACGGCTCCGTGCTCCCTCGTCCGTCAACACCACAGGCTTCATTTTAAGTCAGAAACGGCAGAAGTAGAAGCTGTTCCTTCCTGTTAAGTCCTCTAACATGTGAGACTTTGATCTCACTTTGAATTGCGCTGGCTTTGATAAAGTACGAAAAGTTCAGTAATTTTTTTCTGCCAATGGGAGTGCGTGTGTCAATAAAGCTTTTCTCCAGAGTGAGTTCAAGATGAACTGATGCCCTGCTGTATGGTTATTCCCCCATCATTATTCTTTTGGCTTCTGCACGTGTTGTAAACAAACGCTGCAGTCGTTGAACGTCTCCAGATGTTGCTCCTCCTCACTGTGTCAGAGACTTTGGATTTATTTTTTTCTCTTTCTTTGCTAACAAGTTCCTACATAGTGTGCTGGAAGGGATTCTATTCACTGTTTCTCGAATTAATCTCCAAGCTTAGCAGTTCATACTTGTCCAGAAATCTATAAATAGGGGGTCGTGTAGGAGGGTCCCCAGACATGAGCGAGCGAGGCAGACACATACGCAGTGAGAATAGTTTTACTTCAACCACACGGCCAAAGACAAGGCCACATCAAGTGTGTGCATGGATATTTATCGGAATAACAAATGCCATTATCCATCCCCTCGTTCAGAATGAACATGTCTTTCTGACTGGCACGGATCGTATCAGGTGTGTTTATATGAAGCAGTTTTATTCTGAATATTTGTGTCCATGTTTGATTCTCTGGCTGTGTCAGTGTTTGTTTCTGTTTCCTGTTAAGTCCTTGATGCAGCGGCCGTTAGTTGACCTTCTCTATCTCCTCCCCTCACTCCTCCCTTACTTCCTGTCTCTCTTCAGGGTTCAGTCAATAAAGACTTATAAGGAATAGGGACTGTTGTGTTTTACGTATTTTCTGACTGTTCCTCCATGTTTTATTTTCTCTCTGGTTTAGTTGGACTGGGCTGCGTTTGGCGTCATGACTCTGCCTCCATCGGCATCCCGCTGCTCCTCTGGTACTCCAGCAAGAGAAAGTATGACTCCCCGAAGGCCAAGAAGAACTGATGTCACACGCCTGAGGGGGCGGGCTGAGGGTTTTTGGGGGTTGGGTAGAGGGCTGAGGGTTGTGCGGGACGGGGGGTCTGCAAGGAGCTTAATAACCCATATTGGGGTGAAAGTTGAATTAAACACAGAGACCAATAAAGTGACGATTTGATTTAATGTGAACACATTCAGAGTTCAAATCAAACTTTGAACGCACACGCTCACACACCTCTAGGTGTGTGTGTGTGTCGCTTCTTCATGTCTGTAAACAGAAACTGTTTATTACTCTAACACGTGATGATTATGTAGTGTTGTGTTACTTTAATAAAAAGTATCGTTTGTTTTGAACTCTGACATCAGGAGTCAGGAGACGGTTTGTGGATCTTTGAGATAAACTAATAAAATCGAGGTGTTTTTTTCTAAAGTTGTCTGAGGTGACTTTGTGAAACTTTATAAACATTTAACAAACATGTCATGAATCCTGCCCTCATCACATTTTATGGTTTTTGGATTAGAGTCGTTACAGATGAGTTTGAGTTTAGTTCAGATTAATTAATATTAACGTTTGTTTTTTGTTCCTAATGAATTTACAGCAGCTTTAATTTCTTACACAAAGAGTGAAACACCATCAGACTGTATTTATTTATATAGAAACACCTGGAGGGAGCACAAGAGAGGCCAGGTATGCTCACACACACAAAGTAAATTGAGCTCTGTATGTGCAGAAGTATACCATAAAATATTAACAATGTAAATAAAACAATAGTGCGGTGGGCGGGTAATGCTGAAATGAATATGATAACAAAATATTTGATTATTATGACTAATAAAGATGGGTTTCATTAACATCAGTGTTTCTCAACTTGTGGGTCGGGACCCAAAAGCGGGTCGTGGAGTCGTTCTCAGTGGGTCCTGAAAGTGTCAAAAAGTCTAAAAAATCACTGATTTAAAGATTCATTTTGGGGCTTTTTGTGCCTTCATTTTCAAGATAGGATAGTGGACAGATCCGAAATTTAGGGAGAGAGAGAGAGAGTGGAGAACGACATGTGGGAAAGGAGCCACAGGTCGGACCCGAACCCGGGCCGCCTGCCTGGAGGACCACAGCCTCCGTACACCAACCACCACTACACGCCCTTAAAAATGACTACAGTGTGAGGTCCAAACTGCACCATTTTTTATAAAACAAATCTCATCGGTTGAAAAGTATCCGACATTTGGGTCGTGATTTCTTATTAAGGAGTTTGGTCCTGAGGCCAGCCCAGATGAGAACCACTGATTTACAGGGACAGGGTTTTTACAATTACATTAAACAGTGTGGAGGATGATAATACAGTATTTACATGATGAGGTGTCGACTATTACATCAGCTTTAGCTTCAGCTTTTTGTACATTCACAGTGTGTGTTTGGTTTCAAGGCAAGGCCAGTTTATTTATAGAGCACATTTCAACAACAAGGCAACTCAAAGTGCTTCACACAAGACATCAAAAAGCATCATGACAGAGGAAAGAAAAGAAACATTAAAAATTGAAAAATCACAGAAATTATTAAATCTGAAAATATGTTCAAATAAAATAATTCAAATGAAATGAATTGAAATCAATAAAGTAAAAATATAAAGAGTTCAAAGTTACAGTGCAAATTTAAAATCTTATTAAAGTTGTTTAATGAAAGCAGCTGTAAACAGGTGAGTCTTCAACCTCGATTTAAAAGAGCTGAGAGTTTCAGGGTTATTTCACAGCCACAGCTCTGACACTCCGAGAAGAAATAAAGGCTTATATTAAAATGTTATTCTCACAAATTTGGCTTTTAGTTGATTTTACAATACTAATCATGAGATTTAATTTTATTTGACATAATTCTTAGTTCTGACTGTTTCAGTGATTTTTGACATTTTTATTTTACACATTTTAAAACAACAATAAACATGTATTATTTAATAATTCCGTTTTTGTTTAAGGCTGACCACTGCCCGGAAATCTTTTCTTTTTCTTTTTTTTTTTTACATGTATTAGTCAACGGTGATCATGTGGCGCATGCGCATTTGTCTCAAGCGTTGGAGTTGAGACTTGTGAAACAGGTGGAGGAATGACTGAAGAGGTGGGAGTTCCGTGAACGCATCTCCAGTCTGAAACTCTAAGCGGCGAATCGACATGACATCAAACTGTGAGTCTGTTCCGCATTCCTCAAACACACACACGGACACACACACACACACACACACACACACTCACACACACACACAGAGTCCGGACTGGGATCGGGAGCAGACCAGGATCTCGTCCATGGGTTACTCTGCGGTTCATCGGAGCATCAGAGCCGGAATGTGAGGTGACTTTCTCTTGTATTCACGCTTCCTCCTCCAACTTCACGTTCAGACCTCAGTTCTCCTTCAATGTCCGTGTTTGTGCAGGCTCTATGTCCGCGCTTTCCCAGGATGTAATATCTGCGTTTTTCTCTTTAATGTCCGCGTTTTCCATACGCTGTATAACATCTGCATTTTCCATATAACACACACGTTTTCCTCTATGCAATATCCGCGTTTTCCTATTTAATATCCGTGTTTTCCCTGAGGCTATTTCACATCTGCGTTCCTCTGTGTCATATCTGCGTGTTCCCCATGTCTCCTATAATATTCGCGTTTCCCCTCTTGATTAATATAAATGTTCTTCTGTCTTCATGTTCTCTCTCTGTGTGTTAAAGTTGTTTTCATATTTCACATTCTCCGTTTTGTTGTTGCTGCTGTTCACTTGACCACCTCCGCATTGAACCCTGGGTTTATTCTAGTTTTGGCACTGTGTTAAGAGAGCAGATTTGCAAAAGCATTTCCCAGTTTTTGTTCAACTCTTAAAACGTCAAAGATGATGATGATGCTGTTGAAAGCGCAGTGAACCAGATGTCTGTCCAGCCTGCTTATCCCTATACCCATAGGCACACTTAGGGACCGTCTCAAAAGTGCAATACAGCTCCTCAGCGTGCTTCCTTAAGGGAAACAAAAACCTACATTTCCTGTGTGGCAAATTTGATAATTAGCCATTTTAATTAGATCAACTCTTTAACGTCTAATCCCAACGTGACGGTTTGGCGCTGAGCAGCAGTGTGACACAGATTTACAGATTAATGTGTGTGAATTATTAAACTTAAAGGCTCAGGCGTCGGAACACATTTCTCATGAGCTGTAAAAGTTGATGAAGTTCAGCAGCTATGAGGAAATCTCAGTGATGACAGGTGGAGATGTACCTGTGTGTCAAGTCATGTCATCATAGTGGAAGCTCTGGTGGTGACACCGGTTTCACTGTGCATGAGTGGAGTTTTTCTGAAGTTATTTTTAGAGCAGAAATCTGTCAAATGAAGTTAAACTGAATGAAGCCTTTATCGCCCAGAGAGCATAAAGTCAAGAGTGACAAAAGATCTCGACAACAGTAAAGGACTTCACATAACCTCACACGTTTACATTTAATTCAATAAAGTGCATTGTGCCAAGTTCATACTGTATGATCAGAGCTCCTCCCTCCTGTAGGTAATGAAAGACTCTCTTATGAAACGTTTTAAAATAATCCATAAAATCGGCAGCAGCTGTCCTGACATCCAGATGATGGCAGAAATACTCCACGCATATGCCGTGTTAGAAATACATTAAGATAAACAAAGGGTGTTCAAAACAAACATTAAGAGCAATATGTAGTGAGTGAAATGATAAAGTGACCTTGCTATATGATCAGACATTAAGGAACATGCTATGTTGAAGTGCTGGCTTCTCTGACAACAATGCAGCAGCCAGTATGTCCTCCTCCTAACTTTAGATTCTGCTCCTGAATGCTCTGGATTTGTTTGGACCAGAAGGTAAAGGCGGTTTTAAGGCACTCTCCACATGGCCGTTTTGGACGCCCCTCGGTTTGCCAGATATGAGAGCAGTTATCAGGTCAACAGGTGTTGCAGTGATGGAAGCGGGCAAGAGAACTGGTTCAGATAGAAGTGATTGTACCCGACCTAAAAAGCCTCTGCATGTTTCTAATAAGCTCCACGAGCAGAAACGTGCTCAAACTAGGATCCATATTGGAGATGCTTTTGAAAAATGGAGAGAGGTTAGAACACAGAAAGGTTTACAGAGCGATGCAGAGCTGGATAAACACTGAAGCTTCAGTGTCCACCACATGGCAACCTGTGTGAGCATCGACTCTAAGGAGGAGGGGGCGGGGGGAGACAGCTCTCTACAATGTTTAGAATTTAAACACTAGGTGTCAGAGCTACATACTGCTCCTTTAACGACCAGACAAACTGAGCTCTCGTGTGCGTGTCAGCCGCTGTGCAGCACCACTGAGTCTGAGTCAGAAATTTAGGTAAATATGATCTTAAGCAAAAGTGGAGGAGGCAGGCGGGGAGAGTGACATGTCATGTTGTAATAATCGATATCTGTTTGAATCCATCATTTAATCCTGTAGATTTTAGAAGTATGAAGTCGAGCTGCAGACGTGTGAAGCTGGCTACACTCTAGATGATTTTAGGCCTGATTATTATTGAAGTATTTAAATCTAATTTCAGGATAGAACCAATCACTAGATAGAAGGGGTGCAGGGTGAGTCATCAGGCCTTTGAAGATGTCAAAATACTCAGACAATGTTTGATTGCAGATACATGAACATTTAACAGGAACGCTGGATTCAAACTTTAAAAATGTGTTTTTCATTTCATCGGGATTGAACTTAAAAAAAATGTATTCGTCTCATTTACTTCTTTAAATAAATGATTGGATTAAAAACTGTGTGGATTTTTCTGTCGTCCGTCTCTCAGGTCAAACTGAAGAGGATGAAGAGTCAAAGTTCTCATGATGATGATGAAGAAAGAGTTAACGATCTGATGAGGATGAAGTCCAGTTTCAGATAATCTGTCGGGACCATTAGAGAGATCCAACATGGCTGCCTTCAAACCTGAAAATGTGGAAGACTTTTATGAGATGGGAGAAGTTCTGGGGAGGTGAGAACGACTCGGATGTGTGAAAAGAAAACTTTATTCATTTGTTTAGTTTTAACTGTGTGATCAGAACATTTCCGCGAATAATCAATATTCCGATTCTGACCCGATTCAGTGGGCACTTCGGTCAGGTCCGGCAGGTGCGGGAGCGCTCCACTGGGACTCTTTGGGCGGGAAAGTTCATGAAGATCAAGAAGAGTCCGTGCAGTCTCCTGGGTCTGGATCGGGGCGGCGTGGAGCGCGAGGTCGAGATCCTGCAGGCGGTTCAACATACAAACATCGTGACTCTCCGAGACGTGTTCGAGAGCCGAGCGGAGGTGGTGTTGATCCTGGAGCTGTGAGTGTGTGTGTGTGTGTGTGTGTGTGTGTGTGTGTGTGTTGTTTGTCAACTTAAAATTCCCTATATTAATATTTAGTGGGGCTTTTTTTTTTTTTTTTTACGATTCCATTTTTAAATCATGATTAATCGCTGAATGTCAATAGTTAATCACATGTTTGAAAACAGTCTTTGTCTTGCTTTTGTTTTGAAATCCTTTATTTATAACCAAACAATACTTCCTGTTTGCATACAAACCTGCTTTTATTGTGAAATAAAATAAGGAGAATGGTCGAGCAAAGGTTAGGACATTAACTTCGTAAATGTAACCAGCTCAAAGGAACGGTAACAAAGGTCAATGTGTGATGTCATAAGGTGGATATTACTTTGGACTCGTCAGCTGAGCTGTCTGAGAGTTTGTTAAAGTGAAATGAGACATTCAAAGATGCAGCAGTGTCCTTCTTTTACATCACTGAGACTACAGGGAGACACTGAGGATGACTATCTACGGAGAGCCTGAAGGGACAAAATCTGATGTCTATATTTATTGTAATGGTTTATAATTTATTGTTTCAGAGTGAGCGGAGGAGAGCTGTTCGACTTCATCGCTGGGAAGGAGAATCTTCTAGAAAGTGAAGCCATCGAGTTCATGAAACAGATTCTGGAGGCTCTGCGGTTCATGCACAGCAAGAACATCGTTCACTTCGACCTGAAGGTGACCTGAAAACACTCACCTGACAACGAGAACACTGACCTGTGTTCACCTGAAGACTGAACACTGACCTGTGTTCACCTGAAGACTCTGACCTGTGTTCACCTGACGACTAGACTCTGACCTGTGTTCACCTGAAGACTGGACTCTGACCTGTGTTCACCTGAAGACTAGACTCTGACCTGTGTTCACCTGACGACTAGACTCTGACCTGTGTTCACCTGAAGACTAGACTCTGACCTGTGTTCACCTGAAGACTCTGACCTGTGTTCACCTGAAGACTAGACTCTGACCTGTGTTCACCTGAAGACTAGACTCTGACCTGTGTTCACCTGAAGACTAGACTCTGACCTGTGTTCACCTGTAGACTAGACTCTGACCTGTGTTCACCTGTAGACTAGACTCTGACCTGTGTTCACCTGAAGACTAGACTCTGACCTGTGTTCACCTGAAGACTCTGACCTGTGTTCACCTGTAGACTAGACTCTGACCTGTGTTCACCTGAAGACTAGACTCTGACCTGTGTTCACCTGACGACTAGACTCTGACCTGTGTTCACCTGAAGACTCTGACCTGTGTTCACCTGACGACTAGACTCTGACCTGTGTTCACCTGACGACTAGACTCTGACCTGTGTTCACCTGACGACTAGACTCTGACCTGTGTTCACCTGAAGACTCTGACCTGTGTTCACCTGAAGACTAGACTCTGACCTGTGTTCACCTGACGACTAGACTCTGACCTGTGTTCACCTGAAGACTCTGACCTGTGTTCACCTGAAGACTAGACTCTGACCTGTGTTCACCTGAAGACTAGACTCTGACCTGTGTTCACCTGAAGACTCTGACCTGTGTTCACCTGACGACTAGACTCTGACCTGTGTTCACCTGAAGACTAGACTCTGACCTGTGTTCACCTGAAGACTAGACTCTGACCTGTGTTCACCTGAAGACTAGACTCTGACCTGTGTTCACCTGAAGACTCTGACCTGTGTTCACCTGAAGACTAGACTCTGACCTGTGTTCACCTGAAGACTAGACTCTGACCTGTGTTCACCTGAAGACTAGACTCTGACCTGTGTTCACCTGTAGACTAGACTCTGACCTGTATATATAATAACAGTGACTTGTGTTTTCAGCCGGAGAATGTGATGCTGTCGGACAACTCTTCTCATCCAGTCATCAAACTCATCGACTTCGGCCTCGCTCAGCGTCTCCGTCAGGGGGAGGAGTATATCAGCACGAGTGGAACGCCGCAGTACATCGGTGAGAATCGACAGCTCTTCATTTACATTCACAACCAACAGTTAAACAGGAGAGCGAGATCCTTTATAAATATCAAAAGAGGGTCACCACGGCAACAAACACACTCCCCCCCCATACGTCCCACATCCACCACGCACCCCGCCGTGTTACACAGAACTCCCTGCTAACTCTGTATGTTTTTGATAAAGATTTAATTTCATAGAATAACAGCAACTCTTAGTACTTAGAAGGCTTCATGAATACAGCTCCAGATGCTGTAGATAGTTTGTGTTTTGCACTTAAATAATACTGTACTTAAGGAGGAAAAGAAAATAGAAACAAGAGCTGATTAGAAACATCTATGACATCATCAGGTCCGTCTGCGTCTCTGTATTCACAGATTTATTAACTTGTAAAAATGACGTCATGTTAAATTAGTGTTTGTCATTTTGAAGATATTTAAATTTTATGATGAATACGCTCATGTTAACGTTCTATCGAGGATTAAAACGTGTTTTTAAAGTTCTGTAAGAGATGGTCTGGGCCGTTTTTAAACTGAACTACCCCGATCTCTTTCAGCCCCCGAAGTGATCAACAGTGAACCTCTGAGTACAGCTGCAGATATGTGGTAAGACACACACACACACACACACACACACACACACACACACACACACACACACACACACACACACACACACACACACACACACACACGGCACAGAGTAAATTCTTCAGTCAGAGACGAGTTCAGACGTGTTTCACATTCAAACTGAACAGTCAGACTGTGTGTGTGTGTGTGTGTGTGTGTGTGTGTGTGTGTATTCAGTGTCTTAATCTTCTCCTGACTTTCTGTTTTGTGTTCGTTTCTTCGACAGGAGCATCGGAGTCATCACCTACATACTGTGAGTGTGTGTTTCTTTTCTGACATGCTAACGCTCCCTCCTCGCAACTTACGATCAGCTCACACGCCTCCACGATCAAGAGATCTGATTAGTCAGTAGATTCGTACAGTTTGAGCTCTTAACCCTCAAAACCCGCTCCGAGGCAGCTTAGGGGGGCTACTCCTCTAACTCCTTTAATTACATGAATACTCCCTTCCCCCCCCCCCTCTAGAGGCGACCTATCCCTGGGTAAGAAGTGAGCCACCCTTAAGTTACCTCACTGGCTCCAGGTGACGCTCCTCTCAGAAGAGTACAATAACGGATGACACATGTTTTTCTCCCTTTGTGTCCTCAGTCTGAGTGGTTTGTCACCGTTTCAAGGCTACACAGACGAAGAGACTCTGAGGAACATCCTCGCCATAACTTACGAGTTCGATGATCGAGTTTTCAGCACGACGAGCTCGATGGCCAAAGACTTCATCCAGAAACTGTTGGTCAAAGATCCAAGGTGAGAAGGATGTTGAAGTAATCAATGAGACAAAAATGGAACTCATCCAAACAAAGAATTTTGGGATCAGTCCATTTCTGATTGTTTTTGATATTAGAGAGTTTCTGTTGTTAAAGGAGCAATATGTAACTCTGTCACCTAGTGTTTAAAATGGGTACTGCAGTCCATTTTCAAAACATTGTAGAGAGCTGTGTCCCCCTGCCCCCTCCTCTCTAGAGTGGATGCTCATGCAGGTTGCCATGTGGTGGACACTGAAGCTTCAGTGTTTATCCAGCTCTGCATGGCTCTGTAAACCTTTCTGCGTTCTAACCTCTCTCCATTTTTCAAAAGCATCTCCAATATTGATCCTAGTTTGAGCACGTTTCTGCTCGTGGAGTTTATTAGAAACATGCAGAGGCTTTTTAGGTCGGGTACAATCACTTCTATCTGAGCCACTTCTCTTGCCCGCTTCCATCGCTGCAACACCTGTTGACCTGATAACTGCTCTCATATCTGGCAAACCGAGGGGCGTCCAAAACGGCCGTGTGGGGGGTGTCTTAAAAGCGCCTACCTTCTCTGGTCCAAACAAATCCAGAGCATTCAGGAGCAGAATCTAAAGTTAGAAGGAGGACATACTGGCTGCTGCATTGTTGTCAGAGAAGCCAGCACTTCAACATAGCATGTTTCCTTAATGTGTGATCATATAGTAAGATCACTTTATCATTTCAGTCACTACACATCTTACTGATTGCTCATTTCAACTCCATTTAACTTCTGCGTTAAAACGATGAAAGGGGAACCCTCAAAACCACAAAAGAGACCATTTCCTCCAGGTCAGTTTGGTTCTCTCGCCAGAAAAGCTCTAGTTTCTTGAAGTATCTTTTCAGGGTCCTGATACTCATGACCATGTGACGCTGATGCGAAGTATTTGTGAAACTAAAGTTAAACTTCACAAGATGCTCCACGTTCCTCATTCTCGTGCAGCTGCTGCTCTTCTGATATAACTTTAGACTGAAATGACGACTTTAATCTCGAAATGTATGACTTTATTACCGTATTTTCCGCACTATAAGGCGCACCGGATTATAAAGCGCACCTTCAATGAATGGCCTATTTTAGAACTGTTTTCATATATGGGGCGCACCGGATTATAAGGCGCATAGAATAGAACGTGTTTACAACTGAACAAGGCTGGGAGATATTGTGAATATAAACTATGTTTTATACGTAGTTTTAAAACTACGTTGTATACGTAGTGCATTCACAATAACTCAACGTTGTTCAAACGTTAATGTGCATATTCACAATATCTCCCAGCCTTGTTCAGTTGTAAACACGTAAAAGAAACACAGTCTGATACCGCTAATTCAAACGTTAGTGCATAACTCAACATTGTTCAGTTACGTATAACACGTAAAGCTCACTTTTTCAGTTCATTCCCCGTCCACGAATCCCTCGAATTCTTCTTCTTCAGTGTCCGAATTGAACAGTTGGGCGAGTACGGCATCCAACATGCCCGGCTCCCTCTCGTCATTATCCGAGTCAGTGTCGCTGAGCGCCGTGTACAACCAGTATGGATCAACCAATTAACCAATTGATCCGTATATAAGGCGCTCCGGATTATAAGGCGCACTGTCGTTTTTTGAGAAAATTAAAGGCTTTTAAGTGCGCCTTATAGTGCGGAAAATACGGTACTCTCTCTAAATCTTTACTTAATGTGGCCCTGATACTTTTTTGTATAGACTGACTTGATGTTACTGGTTATATCTCATTGTTGTGTAGCTGTTTGCTCTCTTCATTTGTGTCTTGTTTGTGTTTCAGAGAGAGAATGACAGCCGACGAGAGTCTTCTTCATCCCTGGATCAAAGTAAAGACGACTTTTCTTCGTTTTAGACCTGCTGAATGTTTCCGAGCTTTAAATCCTGTTTTCTCTCACTCTGTGTAACCGACTCTGATTCCTCCTGTTTATTTATCATTTCATTAGTTGTCTCTTGGTGCTGTTTGTTTTCAAACTGACATCAGATGTTTTGCGTTGGTTTCAGCCGATCACTCGTACTCAGGCGACGAAAAGGAATCGCTCATCCATCAACATGAAGAACTTCAAAAAGTTCAACGCCCGTAGGAAATGGAAGGTTTGTCCTCATGTTTATGATTTTGCTTTGTTTATCCCAAAGAGCTATTTGGCAGCATTCCTTTGATTCTTCATAACAATATGAATCGTATTATTGGCTGTTTCCCCCTCAGATGTCCTATAACATGGTGTGGATGTGTAACCGCTTTGTCCGCCTGAAGCTACTGTGTAAAAGCTCCAACCCGGATCCCCTCCAGGTGAGACCTCGTCAGGCCCCAGGGCCACAAGTTGAATAAACTGAATCTTTAAAACTTTAATCAGAGAAATACATTCTTGTTAAACTTTTAAAAATGATTTGAAGAGGAGACACTGAATCTAATGTTTTTATTTCTTCATCTGAAGAAAAACTACAAAAAGAGAAGTCACTTTCTCCCTGTGCTCATAAAATGTGCGTTATTAACGTGACTTGATGCGGTTTGTAATGATTGGGTTTCTTTTCAACTGAGCTGATGTTTTGGTGTCTGCAGAGGGACTGTGAAAGTGATGCCGAAGACACAGAAACCAAACCAGCTTCTCTGCTGCGACGACGACTCAGCAGCAGTTCGTAAAGGTGATGATGAAGAGCTGAGGAAGATGAAGAGCTGAGAGGAGGAAGAGTTGAGGAAGATGTAGAGCTGAGAGGAGGAAGAGTTGAGGAAGATGTAGAGCTGAGAGGAGGAAGATGAAGAGCTGAGGAGGAAGAGCTAAGGAAGATGAAGAGCTGAGAGGAGGAAGAGCTGAGAGGAGGACGACGAGGGGCTGAGGATGATGAGCTCAGAGGATGAGATGGAGAGCAGTTTGGAGGACGTACTGCCCCGTCTGATGAGACTCTTTACTAAAGAACTTCAACAAACTTATATTTTCTATAAAGTCTTCCGTCACTAAACATAATAATATTTTTGTAAATGTCGTCCTGTGTTTGTGATACGTCGGTCAATGAGTAAATATCTGTAAAGTACACAGACATATAAACAACCATGAAACAAAAAAACGAGAATCTACGTCACTGAAGTTTTAACTTAAACTTAAAACATTTTTGGTGCTTTCATACTCGTACAAAAACTCCTGAAATTTTCAGGTTGAGCTGCATGTGTGGACGCAAACAGACTTTTTTTTTTTTCCCTGCCAGCCTCGTTTTAATTTTTTTGCATGTGAGCCGGGGGCGAGATGATGTGTGATCGCCGCGGGAAAAACCCAGGGATATTCATCTCCAGCGAGTGGAAGAGGGGTGAAGATGTTTCCCCGACGCAGGCGCACGACCACAGACTGCATGCAAGCAATCTAGGATAGTCTTCGCTTTGAGGTGCATGTGTGAACGAACAACTCAGGAAGATTTCAGGGCAGGGAAATTGTCAAGACATTTGCACGTGTGGAAACGGTTGATGTGTTACTACCTCTGTCTCACATTAAGAGCTCTAGCTGTTCATTGTTATAATAAAGTCAAAGTTACTTCATAGTGTAAGATCTAGGAGGAAATATGTTTCAGTTTTATTTGGGTGGTTTGTTAATGTGACCTTACTTTCTTTAGCATCTGTTTACAGTTCAATCCCTGGATGAAGCACAGAGCAGTGAATCTAACGGGATGCAGCTGCAGCATCTTTGATGACTGTCACGGGTTAAGACAATATCAGAAAATATTTTATGTACGTTAACTGGTTTAAAGTGGTGTTTTAATAAATGGTGTTTTGGATTGATATGAAAATGACTTGGTTCATGTGTCTCTCTCTGCCCTCTGGTCTAACGTGATCTTCTATCACTGCGGTGAACATTTTGCAAGGGAGCACCAAAAACTATCTCGTTCACATGCAGGGGTGTGTCCAGACGGGCGGCATGGGCCCCCCTTTGACATCTGATCTGCCAACCCAGAATCCAAATCTATGATTGGCTGTTTGGCTAATCAGAGGCGGTACTTCAGATGAAAGTTTTTAACAGGCTGCTGATCATTTTCTTTACCAGTTAATTTTGTCTTAGTTTCTGTGCTTTCAGCTGTGAATTAATGTTTTTCCCTTCACACACGAATTTCCAATGAAAATATTGTGCACACGGTTTAACTTGCGATGGACTTAATCGCCGATAAATGTATTTCTGCAAGTTAGACAGCTCAAGAGTTTGAGTTCAAAGTACTCTAAATTATTATAAATTATGTCGAGTCCCTAAAGCATCCAGCTTAGATATGTTGCCAAATTGTGTTACTTACAAGCCTCCACTCCATGCCACCCCTGTTTAAGGCAGTGCCATCTTTAATCTGACCAGCACAAATAGTTTCTGTGATTGTCGTACTATATATGGAAAGTTGCTACACGTACAAACAGCTAAATTTTTCATGATTTTGAAGCTTAATTTTGTAAACTTATACGTTTTTTTTCGTTGCTGAAATTTGACCTGGTGGTTAATAATACATTCTTCTTTGGTGTAAAAAACAAAAAAACAAAAATATTTTTTTGGTTTACAGGGATTTTCATAATTTCTTTGTTTGTGTATATAGTGACTATATTGTAACAGCCCTACATGCAGGAAGGTTCTGCAAGAATAATATATTTTGGATGCCCAGTAATCCTTTTACAGGGAACTGAAACCTAGGAAGCATCATTTTTTCATTGCTGGGAAAAAAAAAGGTCAGTGTAAAGTTCAAATGTGGGCCTATTGTTTTTTTGTTTCACACATCATTATGAAACACTAAGTTGTCATATTATTACTACAAACTTTTCATGTTAAGATGCCTGATCAGGATTGTGCATATACAACTCTTAATAGTGAAGAAAGCAAGATGGGTCAGTGTGAGATATTTCTACCATCAGCTCTGGGAAAGCATACAGTTTTTTAGAAAGTTAATAAGACTTTGTGTTATAACATTTTCAGATTTAATGTTGTTTGTTTTACTTTCTTTGGCTGACTGCAACATACTGCAAACGTGTCTTTGATTGTTTATGCTTTTACTTTTGTTTAACTGTGTTGAAAATGTATATCATATCAGAATATAAGGTGACACATTTACTTACTGAGAGTTTGAGCAAATGGGATCTTGAGAAGTACTATTTAAAACAGTCACTGTGCCTTTTTACAGTGGCTAGGTTCACATTTTTTCAGAAGCTGTGATTGGTTGATCCAACAAAATGAAGAAAAAAAGTAAATCATAGAATCTAGTCAGACATTATGTAATTATGAACACTATGAAATAAACATCTGTGTGATAATATGTTAGACTTACTTTAAAATGATACTGCCTACAAGATGTTTGAAATCACATGTCCACTGGTGCAGCAGCTTCTTCACATGCTGATCGTTACATCGTGTGAAGAGCCTTGACTAGTGATTGGATGCACCTGTAAAGGTAACCACATTCAGAGAAGTCAACATGCATGTCTCACTATGCACAGACGAGAAAAAATTGTTGTTGGCTTGAAATGTCTGCACAAATAATTGTTTGGCTGTTTGGCACAACTATGATTCAATAATATTCTTCATGTCCTGTTTTTAAGAACATTTCTATGTCTTCTCCTCAGCTTGAGAAACTCTTAAGTCTGTTAAAAGTCCTCCTCACTACTCCTAACAGTTGTACACCTGAGGAGCTCTCTTTGTGAATAACTTTCATCTTTATAAGGATCTAGTCTTAACTTTAAGGGGACATTCTTAGAAAATGTCCTGATTCTAAGAATGTTCTTAACATATTGTCAATAACAGCAACTCTTACTTAGGAGGCTTCATGAATACAGCTCCAGATGCTGTGGATAGTTTGTGTTTTGCACTTAAATAATACTGTACTTAAGGAGGAAAAGAAAATAATTTTAAACATAAAAAATTACATTTTTGGGTCTTGTTATACCGTAAATAATACCTTTTCTAGTCTTCTGACCATTTAGAGCACTGTGCACTTAAGAATGTAATACTCACTTCCACTAAAGACTACGCCTTGTGAAGCGATTTGGGGTTCAGTATCATTCCACACTGATGGATGGAGAACAAGCTCAGAACAGCCTGGGATCTTAACTTAAAAAAAATAAGGTAACACTTAAATCAAACATCAGATCTTGATAAACTAATTATTCAATTTGAAAATCTTTACTGGTGTACTTTGTAGAATATTTGTCCAGAAAATGACATGACAAATCATTGATTGATTACAATGACTTGTGATTTCTAAATGGACAGATTGATATCCATGAAGTTTAAGTGACTTGGTGTTATACTGTGATGAATAAGTAGTATAGTTGATTGTACTGAGCCACAGTAGGTAAAGTTGCAGTTCACAGTGTTATAGTGCCTTTACATCTTTACGTGTCAAAATAAGGTAGATTGGGGAAATATGATATCCTTTTACTGTGGTGCTCACATGTTAGGCAACAATAACTTTGAGGCTAGAAGTGTTCTTGAATAATACTCAATTTATGGGTTTATGTTATGAATCAGTACTTATCTACTGTCGTCTTCTGACTACTCAAAGCACTTTACACTGATGGTAGAGGTTGCTATGGAAAGTTACCATCAAAAGTAACTAATCCCATACATACACAATCACATGCCACTTGGGGTGAAGTGTCTTCCCCAGCAACACATGGGACATGTAGATATGGGGATCAAAACCCCCAACCTTCTGGTTTGGAGTTAACGACTACCCACTGAGCCACAGTTTGTTGTTTGGTTTTCCCTTTTAAACTGAAAGGTGCTTTTGAAAATACAACTCACTAAATACACAAGTATAAATAAAAAGGCAACTTTGAATATTTGTCTGAGATCTGTCTTCAATGTTTCATAGTTAATCATATCAAATGTTTGACAGACATTCATTTAGAAACTGATTTTAATTTACCACTTCACCATTAGTGTTGCCAATGCCTCCAAAAGTATGTATGTAGTTTCTATGTGTGTTTATTTTTCCATAAAGTATGTTTTTATAGATCACTACTCTGGAAGTAGGCAAGCCTTTTTAGGCCCCATTTTGAGCACATGTAACCGTTATCAAAGAGATCCCTCGTTATATACTTCTCTTTCTCTCTAGATGCCTCAGGGTATACTGAGCAGAAAACGAAGGCCAAACAGTCAAAACAGTACTTCATAATGCCAGCTATGTTCAACCAAAAGTGTGTTTATATGTGCAGAACAACATAACTGCTGTAAAACAACAAGGAAATCATATTCTATTGTGAATTACTGCATTTTTATACACAATAACAAAGAAACCGATATAGAAAACTTGGCAACTGCTTTGCTGTTCAGATACACAAAGGAATACTGTATGTGGCATATCAGCGTATAAAAAGAAGCTACCTTGGAAAATAGTTGATAATTCATGTATTGTAGGGTTGGTTATACAAGATACCGATCAGTAAAGAGCGTACTATGTACGAGTAGGTGATTGTGATTATGGCCATTTGGAGAGGAGTCAAAATCAACTTCTTTGTGATCCTGATCAGTTGTCATCTGAAAAGTCTTTCAAACCATCACAGGGGTCTAGAGTAACCCTGTGTTGAGACTTCAAAGCCCAGACATTGTGAGACACTTAAGGAGGGCTTGCAGATATGTTTGTCAAAAGCACTTTTGAAAAATAAAAAAACACCAACAGCACAAAATACCCAAGTGTCAATAAATCCTTGTTGAACTGTTGTGGATAGGCAAAAGTGAATATAAAAAGGAACATATTTACATTATTAATATGTTTTTGTTTTTCAGTTTGCCCTTGATGATGTGTATGTGGCAGGATGTCCTTTCTACTGTAAACAGCGGTTTACAGAAGGGGGGTCGATTGTTCTAGTTAGCAGAGTTGAAGAGGTCAGTGATGTTTTCATCCTTAGCCAGGCTCAGGAAATACTCCTTTCCATCAACAGAGAAGGCTACAGGTGAAGTAAGACAGACAAAACTTTGCTCATCTTCAGATGGGGAAACATGAGGTATGGTCATTGTGTCAACAGGGCGGTCAGAGACTGGTGACGAGTGTTTTGTTGTCGCGGACAGCGGGTTGCAGATACTGTTGATTCCAGAGGTAGAGTAGGCAGTGCCTGAAACATAATGGAAATGTAGATGAAGAGACACAGGGGGGAATTAAAAGAGCATAATAAACTTTAAAATCTTAAAGTAGGGTTTTAACAGAATATTTCATTGTTCCTGTTTAAAAAAAAACACTTGAGGTGCTTCTCAGGTTATCTTAGGCAGTTTAGCAAGACCAGCCTGATTGAGGTGACACAAGTGATTGTGAAGTGAAAGATGCACCTCCGCAAGAGACCTGCTCAAAAGGATGAGTAAGGCAAGAAGGGGGCAGAGCAGTTACCGTTGGTCGAGCTTAAGCTGCTGCAATTTACTAAAGGGCCAAGTGTGTCTTCCATCGGTACGCCGGGGTCGTCAGAGCAGAGGAATACTTCAATGGGCCCTTGTGTGCTGCAAAGGTGGACCTGTAGGCTCTGAACACAAGAAGCAAAAGGAGCGTTTACATCATGGTCTCTGATTATGCGTAAACAGTAGACTTAGAGCAAGAAAATGTCATTAGAATATTTGAATAAAATAAATAAATAGCTGAAGTCAATGCTGCACTATTTCAAAACACAACATTAAATCAGCCCTTTGTCAGTGACAGATGTGGTTTTTTTTTTTAATGTCCGAGATACATTACAAAAAATAAAATGTAAAAAATAAGTTAACTATGTATTAAAGTTTACCTCTTCTGGGTGTGGCACCGCCAGTTTGGTCTCTGCAGGGGCTTTGATCACAATCACAGTCTGTTCTTCCAAATTTGGTAATCTTCGGACATCCTCATAAGTCAAATATGCAAATGTGATCACTGATGTTAAGGAATATACAATTATTACAATTAACAATGGAAGATTAGGATTAAACCTGAAACTGTCATTTTAAGTAAAACAGTTTTGGAGGATAGCAGAGGAAATCATTTGTCATATGCCCATCAAAATCTTAACACTGGCTTTGGTGATTGGCCAATAGAGCCCTCAATAATAATTTTGACAACCCAATTGGGGTACACCTATTTGACCTAACTGAATTTGCATCACATCAATTGTCCAAAGTTAAACAGAATTGACAAATAAAAGGATATCTTTGACCTTGATGGTTCTCACACATCTGGTGAACCTGCCACGTACAGCTTTGTATCAACTCGTCCAGCTTCTTCTCCTCCTCATTTAGATCATTCAGTTCCTGATCCATTTGAGCGCTGGTCTGACCGCCCCTGGTTGACAAATCAAAGCAGCAATACAGAGTCAACACGGGAGAAAACATAACTCAAGACATCAAGCTCACTAAACTGTGTATGAAAAAAATATATACAATAGTCTGAACTGAGAAATAAACAACAGAACACAGTTTACAAATTTTCCCCCGAGTTCATTTACTGCTTTTCTCAATATGCCTGCAGCAACATACGTGTCCTTATGCAAGACACTTATCCCCAAAGTTGCTCCCCCTGCTTCATTGGTGGCCTATAAATGTGCATGAATAGGATAAGCTAATTGGTTTATACTTAGGAGCCTTTCCCATCAAGGTTTGAATGGGTGTGACCTGCAGTGTAAAAGCACTTTTGAGTAGCCAGAATACAAGAAGATCCCTGTAACTGTTTAACATTTACTTTGTTTGCAACATTAACATTCTTTATCAAGGTCTTTTAACAAATGCCATGAAACATTGGTAGTTGCATTTTAAGTTTTAAGCTGCATTTTAGGTCACAACAGTTGCAACAAAATCTTGAAAACGCAAGGACGAGCTATTGATAAAAACAGTGTCACTAATGTCAAATCCAGGTACAACTTTGTTCTCATGATTCTGGTAGAAAAACAAAACAGAGATACCAACAAAGCTAATTGGCCATAATTTTAAGATAAGCTTTGCACTACAAGCTTCATCCACTCATACTTACATCCACTGAATGTAGTTTTTAGACTTCTTCTTGATTAGCTGGATTCC